CGGCGCGCGGCGGGGGTCACGGCCCCGCGGGGTCCCGGTGAGGAGCGTCCCCCGCGGCCCGGCGCCATGGGCCCGGGGCCCCCCGCGGCCGGAGCCGGGACCTCCCCGCGGCAGATGTCGCTGGTGGCGCGGCTCAGCTACGCAGTGGGCCACTTCCTCAACGACCTGTGCGCGTCCATGTGGTTCACCTACCTGCTGCTCTACCTGCACTCGGTGCGCGCCTACAGCTCGCGCGGCGCCGGCCTGCTGCTGCTGCTCGGCCAGGTGGCCGACGGGCTGTGCACGCCCCTCGTGGGCTACGAGGCCGACCGCGCCGCCGGCCGCTGCGCCCGCTATGGCCCGCGCAAGGCCTGGCACCTGGTCGGTAAGCGCCCGCGCCTCCCGGGACCCCATCCGTGAGCCTCCCCTGTCCCCGCGCCGCTCTGCCCGCCTGCCCGGCCCGAGTCTCCCCTCCGTCTGTCTGTCCATGGCCTGAGCCTCCCCCCTCTGTCTGTCTGTCCATGGCCTGAGCCTCCCCCCTCTGTCTGTCTGTCCATGGCCTGAGCCTCCCCCCTCTGTCTGTCTGTCCATGGCCTGAGCCTCCCCTCCCCCCCTCTGGCTGCCCAGTGCCCCTCTACCTGCCTGACCCATGAGCCTCGCCACCTTTCTGCTTGGCAGCCCTGTGTCCTCTCTGTCTGCCTGTGGCCCTCTCCATCTGACTGTTCGAAGGACCCTTCCATGTCACTCCCCTTTGTACGAACCCTGGGGGCACGCAGAATGCTCTCTGGGTTGGATCTGAGTGCTCAGCTGAGCCCCCAGTCCATCGGGGGTCCGTTGGGACAGCTCTGCCTGAGGGAAGGTCAGCTGCCTAGAGCCCTTCTGTCTGTCCGCCCGCCCAGAGCACCCTAGTCCATCCCCTGCCTCGCCTCAGGCCACCTGGCGCTTGGGCAGCCTGGGGGTGCTGGCCTGGGAGCTGGGAGTTGGGGGCGGCTGGGACGGCAGGGTTGGGGATCTGTCCGGCTGACCAGGGAGGGGGCGGCCCCATGTCTGGGGAGGCGCCCTATTAGAGAGGGCTGTCTGGAGGGCGGGAGGTGGGTCCCACGGGCTGGGATGATAAGCCTGCCGGCTGTTTCCCAGTGGCACCGCTCCCCCCCTGGGCCCGGAGATTAGCCCCTCCGCCATGTTCCTGGCCACCTTCAGGGGCATGTGTCCGTCTGGGAGCCACCAGGGGTGGGCTGGAGCCTCCATGCCCTGGGGAGCCACAGCTGAGGGCAGAGGTTTGACACAGTCCCTCGTGAGAGACATTTTTTGCAAGATGAGCAGATCTCCGGGTGGCCTGAGGGCGGCTGGGATTGCAACAGCCACCGACTGGGGGCTGGACTTCCAGGTTCCCGAGGCTGCCCCGGCGTCACTGTGGCAGACTGTGGCAGACTGGCAGATGAACAGGGGTCCCCTGCTCTCTGACTGACAGATTGTCTGCAGAGCTGAGCCCAGGGTCTCAAAGGCAACTTGGATTCTAATCGTGGGGCAAACTCGCTGTGAGCCAAACGGGAGCATTCCCGGGCAGGGGAGCCCCCTGCGCCCGAGGCCCTGGCAGAGGGCACTGCATGTGCAGAGGCCCTGGGGCGCCACTTGCCAGCTCTGCGCCTCCCGGCCTGACTGTGTGCTCCTTCCAGAGGCGCAGGCCTGAGGTTTGAGGAGGGTCCCACCGGACCCCAGCAGAGGTTGGGGCGGGAGAAGAGCTGGGGGCAACTTTGTAAATAAAGGACTGTGCCCAAACCGGACACCAAGGCGTCCACCTCAGCCCTTCCCCACCTCGGGATGGACACGGGGGAGGCCCCAGGAGGGTGTTTTGGGCTAGGAAGCTGGGGTGACCCCTCTTGACGTTTGATAAGGTGACTCGAGTGGTGGTCACCATGGCGACGGTGCCCACTTCTCTTTTTCACCCTCAAGTTCGTGGATGGACTCGCTCCGTCCCTTAACGAACCCTTGGGGCTCCCTCTTGTAACCTGGAGAGGAACCTCAGCCACCATGGGCGCCTGTGGGCGGGGGCAGATGGTAAGACTGCGGTCCCTGCCAGGAAGAGGGAATATTAACTTTGGGGTTTTGAAGGGTGAGTAGGAGTGTGTGCATGGGTGGTATTCCAAGTAGTGGAAACGGCTGTGGAAAGGCATCAACTGCCTTGGTCTGGAAGCTGCTGAGGCAGGAAGTGGCTCAGAGCGGTAGGAGTTCTGGAACTCCGAATCTTCATACTTTACCCCTGAGGCAGGAATTTGCATGACTCCTGTTTTCTGGAAATAAGGCCCAGGAAGACAAAGCCACTTGGCCAAGGTCCCCCAGCCAGGCAGCCTGGCCCCAACAATGGTTAACCCAGCTTGGTCAGCAGGCAGGTGGAGCCAGCCAGGGAGGGACATTCTCCTGACTAGAGTCCACAGTGCGTGACCCCCGCCCCGCCCCGGGGGGCCTCCAGGCCCCCAGGAATCTTCCCACAACCCTCTGGGGCACCAGTTCCAGAGAACTGGCCAGGGTGGGTTTGCTTTCATTTCCCGATCCCGAGGGCGGGCCCGGGTCGCGGGGGATGAGGTCACCTCCGGAGCCTGCAGGAAGGAAGCCCAGCTGCTGGCACCGCACAGGCCCCTCCAGGCTCTGGGTTGGGAGGTGCAGGGCGCAGCCGGCTGGATTCTCCACGCCAGCACACTCCGCGGGCCTCAGTTTCCCCACCTGGAAAACCCGGATTATAACACCCACCCTTCCAGGCTGTAGATTGAGGGCACCAGTGCCGTTCTTCATTCATCCAATAGACAGTGATGCGCCAGGGTCCCTGCTAGGCGCTGGGGACATGCGGAGGGACCTCTTACCCACCCCCCGGAGCCTGCTGTCTGGTCAGGGAAGCAGGCGGGAAACACGCAGACAGACCTCGGGATTCCCAGGGGTGCCGACGGCTGTGTAGTAGAGAGAGTGGAGCCCAGGACAGAGTGTCCCGGGCCTGGAGGGGACCGCTGGTGACTGGGCCAGTCAGGGAGGGTTTCTCTGAGGAGGTGACATTTAAGCACAAACCTGAAAGAAATGAAGGACTGAACCAGACAGAGGGCACAGCCCGTGCAAAGGCCCTGGGGCAGGACCGCGCCTGGCATGCTGGAGGCGCAGGGGGGAGGCCCGTGTGGAGCAGAGGGAGGAGGGGACGGGGCAGGTTGTGCAGGGCCGCAGGGAGAACCCTGCATTCATTCCGAGGTACTGGGGTTTTTTCTGAGCACGTACACGGGAAGAGTGTGGCACACAGCAGGTCTTGGAAGGTGGCAGGCTCTAGTTTCTAAACTCTGTCCCCAGGGGACAGGACACCCCAGTATTCCAGGGAGAGGCCCTGTTAGGAGCTGATGGGGACAGCAGGGCTTGGGGAGGGAGCCCTGACGACTCCCGTGGGACACTCAGGCCTCCTGCCGCGAGGACAGGGAAGCCGTGTCTGGACATAGGCCCCGTGGCGGGCGGTTCCCTGGGAACCCGCTGCGCCCTTCTCACCTGCCGCCGGCCTCGGTCACTGTGTCAGTCACCTGCCTTCACCAAGGGGCAGCCCGGGAGCCCCAGGCTGGCAGGGAGGGGCCCATTCCTGCCCCTTCCCACTCCCCTGCCTCAGTTTCCCCATCTGACTGGTGGGTGGAGGCCTGGCCCCATCTATCCTGCTTGGCTGTGTGACCTGAGAGATACCCCAGATCTTTCTGCCTTGGTTTCCCCCTTTGCCACAAGGGGCCACGTGCCTGGGAGCTCTGGGCAGGTGCGGACGCCCGTGACGTGTCCCCCGGCTCCGTCCACAGGCACCGTCTGCGTCCTGCTGTCCTTCCCCTTCATCTTCAGCCCGTGCCTGGGCTGCGGCGCGGCCACGCCCGAGTGGGCCGCGCTGCTCTACTACGGGCCGTTCATCGTGGTCTTCCAGTTCGGCTGGGCCGCCACGCAGATCTCCCACCTGAGCCTCATCCCGGAGCTCGTCACCAACGACCACGAGAAGGTGGAGCTCACGGCGCTCAGGTAGCCCCCGGCGGGCCCTCTGCCCGGCTGGCACCGGTGTACGGCGCTGTCTCAGCCGGGCAAGGTGGCTCACGCCTGTGACCCCAGCGCTCCGGGAGGCCGGGGCGGGAGGATCACTGGAGGCCGGGGCCCCCCACTGACCAAGGACTGACATTGCACAGGCAGAATTTCCTCCCCTCGCCACAGAGCGCTGCCACCAGCTGGCGGGGACTTCCTGCCCCCAGGGGGAGGGGACTGGGCAGGGCGTGCCTCTCGGGGCCATCTGAGAATTCTGCCCGCCGCAGGCAGGTACGGCTGGCACCTGGCTTACCTGCCATCGTGCCCGAGGCGCTAGAGGAGGCTGTCCCGGCTGTGATGATAAGAACGTTTATTGAGCGCTTGCTGTGTGCCAGCCGTCGTTCTAGCCCCTTGACACGAATCCACTTCTTTAACTCTCACCGTGCGCCAGGGCGGGGCGGAGGGAACCGCTGTCCCCTCTGTACTCCAGAGGCGGAGACGTGGCCCAGGCCGGGTTGGGTGGCATCGTCATCGGGCCTATTCCGTCTCCAGACCAGCCTGTCCACCCTGGCCGCCTCCCCGCCCCGCCTCTGAGTTCCTCCTTGTGCCCACGACACAGATTGCCCAAGGCCCAGGGCTCCGAGCGCCCTGCTGACTGGGGCCGACATGGCAGCACCTTGCCAGTGACCTCCTGGCATGCTTATGTGGCATCTGGAGATGGCATTGTTCCTGCTTTCAGAAAGGGAAACTGAGTCCTGGTGAAAGCCGGAGGCTCCCCCCCACACACACACCGCCCCAGCTAAGCAGGGCTGCAGGCCTAGACGCTTCTAGACCAGGACCCGGGAGCCAAGAATTCTAGAATCCGGGTTTCCGGGCATCTGGGCACTCAGTTTCGGGGTTGCAGCCTGGATTCTGCCCTGGGCAGATGGGAGGCCGCGCAGAGTGGAGTTGCAGGCCAGAGCTGCACGTCGTGGGGTCACGTGCGGGCTGGGGAGACTGAGGCCAGCAGGCGCTTCCCTGAGGTCACCCAACGTGTTGGTGGCTGAAATCACCTCTTAGCTAGGGGTCCCCCGCATGCTGCAAAGTGCCCTGAAGGTGTGGCCCCTGGGAGGAAGCAGCCCGAGGTCCGAGGCTGCCCTGCTGAGGCCGTGCCCGCCCTGCCAGGTACGCCTTCACCGTGGTGGCCAACATCGCGGTCTACGGCGCCGCCTGGCTCCTGCTGCACCTGCAGGGCTCCTCGCAAGTGGGGCCGGCCCAGGACCTCAGTGTCAGCGACCAGCTGGGGATGCAGGACGTGCCGGTGTTCCGGGTGAGCTGGGGCCCGGGTGGGCCCCCCCAGAGCCCTAGCCCCCAGGGCTGGGCCGGAGAGCTGCCACTGACGGGCTCTTCGGGGTCCCCAGAACCTGTCCCTGTTGGTGGTGGGCGTCGGAGCCGTCTTCTCGCTGCTGTTCCACCTGGGCACCCGGGAGAGGCGCCGGCCGCGGCTGGAGGAGCCGGATGAGCACAGCCCCCTGTTGGCCCCTGGGGCCCGGCCCCTGCTGCTCTGGAGACACTGGCTTCGGGAGCCGGCTTTTTATCAGGTACGTCGAGAGGGCGTGGAGGGGCCGGGAGTGGACACCTCTCTCCCTGGCCCGGACCTTTACTCTGCGGGGCCACAGCGTCCAGAGAGCAGGCAGAGTTGGCAGATGGCACACGTAGCCCCTGCTCCACCCCACACCCGGGCAGGCATTGCTAGTCAATCGCCGCTCTCTTCCCGCCTGACCACCTGGGCAGTCACTACCAATGGAGCAGGCACCAGCTGCAGGGGCCTCGCCCAGGCCCTGGCGCCCCCTGCTGGCCGGAGTGTAGAAGGACCACCGGACCCCCACCCGTCCCTCTGTCCATCTGCCCACAGGTGGGTGCGCTGTACATGTCCACGAGGCTCATCGTGAACCTGTCCCAGACCTACATGGCCATGTACCTCACCTACTCCCTCCACCTGCCCAAGGTGAGCTGGGCGGGGCGGGGGACAGAGACGGGACGGCCCCGCAGCCGTGAGCCACGCCTGAATCGCCAGTGCTGCCTCTGCCCCGACAGAGGTTCATTGCGACCATCCCCTTGGTGATGTACCTCAGCGGTTTCTTCTCGTCCTTCCTCATGAAGCCGGTCAACAAGCGTATCGGCAGGAATGTGAGCGTGGGGACAGTGGGGGAGGGCGGGACGGTGGGCCGGGGGCGCCTTGCAGCTGAGAACCCACCAGACACAGCAGCCCCAGCAACTCGGCTTCCAGCCCGGGAGGGTTCCGGGCCTGCGCGTTCTCACCTTGTGGCTGCCCCGGGTCTGAGACCAGCGGTTCCAGAATCCCAGCTTCCGAGTATCTTGGGTTCTCCGACTCTTGGGGCTGCAGAGCTCTGGAACTTTCTGTCCAGCCCGCATGGCTGCGATTCTCTTCATCGTAACCGACTTGCACTCAGACATACGTGGCCACCTGCCTCGCGGCTGCGCTGCACAGAGAGCACAGCCCTAGGGTGTCATCCCCGCAGAGCTCCCAGCCCCTCTGGGTCTGAGTCTCCCCCTTGGCCAAGGTCAGAGCTGGGCTCCTTAGGAACCGTGCTACTCAGGCCCCCCGTTGCTGGGGTGGGGGTAGGGGCGGCGGATCGAAGAGCAGAGAGGGCAAGTGCCGGGCACTCCCGAGCCCATGGGTCTGATGCCCGGCCGGGCTTCCGCCCCGCAGCTGACCTACTTCACGGGCCTCCTGGTGATCCTGGCCTTCGCGGCCTGGGTGGCGCTGGCGGACGTGCTGGGCGCGGCCGTGTACGCGGCGGCCGTGCTGCTGGGTGCCGGCTGTGCCACCATCCTCGTCACCTCGCTGGCCATGACGGCCGACCTCATCGGCCCCCACACGGTAGGGCTGGAGGGCAGGGCAGGACTGGGGGAGGCTGGGGACCGCCGGGGCCATGACACCCACCACCTGCTTGTCCCCCAGCACAGCGGAGCCTTCGTGTACGGCGCCATGAGCTTCTCGGATAAGGTGGCCAACGGGCTGGCGGTCATGGCCGTGCAGAGCCTGCACCCCTGTCCGTGAGTGCCGCTCATTCATTCATTCATTCGTTCGTTCCGTGAGCACCTGCTGAGTGCTCTAGGTCACGGACATAAGACACCTGCTCTTGTGGGACTCAGGCCAGAGACGTCTCATTTCTTACTTTGGGCGCTTTGTTTATTCATTCAACAAACACTGCGTCCGAGGACACAGCCTGCAGGTGTACTCGGGAAGCACGAGCGGGCCCGGCTGGGGGGAGTCCAGAGTCCGTGATGCGCAGATCCGCAGAGCATTGGGGTCCGGACACAGATGGTTCTAGACCACCGAGTTCGAGCCTGTAGAGGCCCAGGAGCCGGGAACCCAAGCTGGCCTGGTCCCCCGTGCTCATGGAGCTGGGGGCAAAGCCACGTTAATAATCACAGGCATAAATGTGTAATCGAGACTGGTGGTGAGAGGTGTCGGGTGAACACTTGGAGAGGCCTGGCTGGTCAGAGCAGGAAGCCAGGGAGGGCTTCCCTGAGGAGGTGACGTTGGACCCGAGGCCCTGAGGATGTTAGGCAGTTGTAGGCCAGTGGGGAGGGACAGCTGTGCAAAGGTCCCAGGGCAGGACGTGCCTGGTGTGTTGGAGGCGCAGCGAGGAGGCCCACAGCGCTGGAGCAGAGTGGGGAGGGGAGAGAAGGGGGAGGGGAGGGGACAGGGCAGGTCGTGCATGGCCCACTGGGCCCTAGGGAGAACTTGGGCTTTGATCCCAAGGGAGGTGGGAGCCATGGAGGGCTGTGGGCAGAGGAGGGCTGGGCCCTGACTCAGGTGCTCACAGGTGCCCTCTGGTGGCTGCTGTGGGGAGGAGACGGGGCCCAGGGCAGGAGGGACTGGGCTGGTGGGGGGTGGGGGGAGGGGTGAGAGCAGGTGGATTGGGGCAGACACTGGAGGCAGAGCCAGGACACGGGGGGGTTGGGTGTGGGAGGGAGTCGGGGGCAACTTCTCTGGCCCGAAGGCGGGCTGGAGCGCCCTGGGTGGGAGGGGAGGGAGGGGCGTCCACTCAGCCGTCCCTCCTGCCCCAGCTCGGAGCTCTGCTGCGAGGCCTGCGTGGGCTTCTACCACTGGGTGATGGTGGCCGTGACCGGCGGCGTGGGCGTGGCCGCAACCCTGTCTCTCTGCAGCCTCCTCATCTGGCCCATCCGCCTGCGCAGCTGTGAGTCACGGGCCGCTCCCTGCCCCCCGAAACCAGCCCAGTGTGGTGGGGATGGCCGGGCCAGCCCCACCCCCCTGACGCTGTCCTCGTGCCCCCATTGCAGGGGACCCTGGCGACCAGTCCTGATGCCCCACAGACTCCTGCACCGACGCAAGTGACCCACATTTCTGCACAGTGACGTCCCGCCTGAGGCTCCGGGAGAAACCCCCCAACTTCTGGCTTCTCCTTGTCTGGCACTGGGGGTGCAGGCCGGGCCTGTCGGGGGGACCTAGCGACTGATCCTTGGACTTCCAGGGACTGTGGGGTCCCCAGGTTTGGGGGTGACCCAACCCCAACTCTTCCATTCCCAGCCCCCTGGAGGACTTGGGGTGCCCCTCTGTAGATCAGAGGCAGGAGGCGTGAGGGTCCCAGTGGGGCTGAGGGCTGCCCTGAGCTTAGCCCCAGTTCACCCCCACTTCCATCCTGGGGGTCTCCGGACACTACCAGGGCCCCCGGGGACGGTGCTGTGACCCAAGCCTGCCAGGAGCCCCGGGCGGGCAGGCTCCGCGGCAGTGAATAAAGATAGGGCGTGGCCCAGCTCCTGCCTGTCCCCATCCTGGCCTTCGCTCCCCTGGGCGCGGTTGGCGACCCCTCTACCCGGGTGCCCAGCCGCCCAGCGCCCACCCGTCCCCGGACTCGGGCAGCACGGGTGGAGGGGCAGCGCGATCTTTATCAGAGGGTGGGTGTGTAGACGAGCGGGGGCCGCTGGCGGGTGGAGGGACAGTAGGGTTCCAGGTCCCAGTGGCGGTAGCTCTGGTTGGTGTAGCGCGGTCGCTGGGGCGCCGACAGGTGGGGCACGTAGTCAGACCCCCGCCAGAGCGGCTCCTCCTGGTACCGGTTCCTGTTGAGCACTGTGGGCCGGGAGTGGGTCACCGCCAGCCCCAGCCTCGAGGGCCACCGGGCCTCCCCCCCCCAGAGCCTGCCCCCAACCGGGCCTCGGGGACAGGGTCCCGCCCCGCGCCCCGCCTCACCGAACTCCTTCCCGCGGGTGGGCCTGTCCTTCCACAGCGCGGTGCCCCACCGCGTGCTCGGCGTCGTGTACTGGGCGGGGACCACGGGGTCGTAGCAGGCCATCTCCCGCAGGTGCTGCGCGTAGGCTGCGGGGGTGGGGGGTGGGCGGTCACGTCTGGGCCTGTCCCCACCAGGGCCTGGCGCCCGGGGCGGGGGCCGCACTCACCTGGGGCCAAGCCGCGCTCCCGGTGCTGGTAGCAGCCATGCCAGCGGCCGTAGGCTTCACGGTGCGGGCTGTCCAGGGCCCGGGGCAGGTTGTACCATGCCTCGCGGGGGTCCGAGTTGGTCAGGCCCGTGTACCACGGCTGGCCGGCCGCGTCCCGTCCCATGGGTGTGTACTTCCAGCGCGTCGCCTGCTTGATGGCTGGAGCCCAGCGGGGTCCCTCCTGGGACAGGTAGTCATCGCTGAGGGCCGGGGTGGGGCAGAGAGTGAGCTGTGGCCCTTTCCCCCGTGCCACCCGGGCGTCTAGAACGGGTGTTCCGAGCCCTCCGCCACATACCAGACCCACTTGCTGCGCCTGTCCCTCAGCATGGGACCCTCCCCCGGGCTGGCAGAGGGAGAGGGGCCGACTCCCCTCCTCCCTGCACGTCCGCCCCAGCCACCTGAGACCGGTCCTCTCGGAGCTTTCCTTGCCTGGAGACCAGACACCAGGGAGGGGAGGGCCGAGGTCGGGGACTCTGGCCACTCCTGGGGCCCAAAGCCCTATCCAGCCTCCAAGACTCCCCGGCCTGGGGTACACCGGAGAGAGGGTCTCGGCTGGGGTGTGGGAGGGCTGGGGCTGTGTGGCCCGAGGACACAGCGGTCCCAGCGCAGCTCACATTAAAGAAAAAACGTAGTGGCTGCACAGCGAGTGCCTGTCAGGCCTCTGGTGTCAGAACCTGTCCTAGGCCGAGAACACTGGGAGGGCTGCCTGGAGGAGGCAGCAGGTGGCACACATAGGCCCTGGAGCAGCAGGGGATGGCTTAGGACACAGACTAAGGACTGGAACCTGCAGCAGAGAGGAACATGGAGATGCGCTCACGGCAAAAGTCGAGCCTCAGCCAGGCACCACTTAACTAAAACTAAACCAGAGACGAGGCTCGAAGATGCTGGTAGCCTTTGGCCTCGTGAGCTGGCTCCTGGGAAACGTCCCCAGCAAGTCGCCCCAGGAGCAAGGCTGTCCCGGCAGGGCTGGGCACAAAGTGGTTTCCTCCAAGGCCTGGCTCGGGGTCGTCTATGCGGGAGTTTGGATCAATCATGAAAGCCCAGAGTCACGCGTCCTAGGGGATGTGGCATCAGTGTGGTTGACCGTGGGACCTGTGCCAGGGGCCTGGCATGCACGTGGGTTCCCACGTGAAAGGGGCTAAGGGGGCTGCGAGGTCATCTGGGACACCCCACCCTTTCGAAATGACCATTTCTGAATTGCAAGTTGCACGTGTCTGCGAAGTAACAGACGACGAAAACGGGTCCCCCGTGCCTGGCCGCCAGCCCCCGAGCAGGGGAGCCCACGCTTTGCTTTCTGGTTTCTCCCGATCCTGCCAGGCACAGGTGGGGCCCGTGTGCCCTCCTGTGACGTGGGCAGCTCCGCACCTGCTGTGGGCTTTCGCTTCCTTCCGGCCCTATCCCTGCCTGGTGTCCCTGGACACTTGATTTGTCCTCAGTTTTCCCCCAGGTCGGGCTCACAGTGAACATCCGCTGGCTTTAGGGCCTTGCTGTGGCCTCGGGCCGGGGGCCGGAGGGTGCCAGTAGTGAGCCTTGAATGACACCAACACCAGAGAGGGGGCAGGGCCAGGCAGGCCCAGGTGCGCCAGGACTCACCCGTACAGAGGGGCTGGGAAGTCCAATTCGAGGGTCCCAGAGGGGACATAGGGCCGGGCAGCCTTCCGCCTCAGGGTCTGCATGTCTGCCTCTGTGTCCCTGAGGGCTCCCGCCAGGAAGGCCTCTGGGGCCATTGTTGACAGTGACAAAGGCCACTCAGTGTCCTGGCAACCACCTGGCCCCTCCCTCTCCCTCCTCCCCACTGCAGGCAGAGGGGAGGTCTGGAGAGCTGCTCCTGGCACTTGACAACTGGGATGGCACGGCGAGGGTGGGGCTTGTGGCCATGGGTCCCCAGTTCCTCGCACCCCTCGTCTGGGGCTCAGCTCCCTCCGCACATCCTCACGGCATGGGGGAGGGGACTCAGACTCAATCTCCCCACACCGCTGTCCTAGGGAAGGCAGTGTCCCTGCCAGGACCCTCCTCCTCGCCCCACACCCACCGGCCATCTCCGTTCCTGGCAAACCCGGAGCCGGAGCGTGTCCGTGAGCATGCGCAGCACGGCCCACGCCGGCTCCTCCACACGCTGAGCATCGCTCGGCCACGGAAAGGGACGAGGCCTGACGCAGGCCACAGCGTGGAGGGACCTTGAGGACATCGTGCTCAGTGAGAGACGCCAGACACAGAAGGACACACAGTGTGAGACTCCGTTTATGTGAAACGTCCAGAACAGGCAGAGCCGCAGAGACGGGACGTGGACTCGTGGTCACCAGGGGCTGGGGAGGGCATGGGGAGTGACTGCTCATGGGGACGGGACTTCCTTTTGGGATGAGAATGTTTGGAATTAATGGTGGCCGCACATCAAGGTACTAAATGCTGCCGAACTTTTTCCTCTGAGATGGTACGCTGTATGTTAGTGTATTTTACCACAATAAAAAAATGTAAACAAAACAAAAGCCAACGCCCCCTCTGCCTTGGGTCCCCCGTCCTACCCGCGTGGGTCCCCACACAGCAGAGCCTGCGCTGCCTGTCCCCGCACACCGCCAGGGCTCCACGGGCCCCGCCCTCCCGCCTCCACACGTGCTGCACCTCGCCCAGGTGCGCCAGTCCTCCGCCCTCGCTCCGAGTCAGGCTGGTGCTGAGCCCTGACGAACGCCGCCCTTCCCCAGGGCTCCTGTCCCCATGTCCCCCATCCACACACTTCCTGATGACCCTCTCTGTCCTGGGACTGCTCGTGCACCTCACCAGGAGGGGAGGCCCAGCTGCAGGTCCCCTCGCCCCTCCTTGGTGCGGCCAAGACCCAGCCCCGAGACCGCGTGGGGTCCCCGGGCTGCCAGGCCCGCCCCCGGCCCCCACCCCTCGTCCACCCCCACTTTAAACCATCCCTCTCTGCCCTCAGCCCCGGACCCTGCAGGGCCTACGAGGTCCCCCTCCTGGCTCTGCTGGGCTGCGGTCCCTGTCCCGCCACACTGACCCTCCCTCCAGCCTTCCCCGGCCTCACCTCGCTTTCCCAACAGCAGTCCCAGACCCTGCACGCTCCGGGCCCTCGGGCAGCCCCTGCCTCCTCCGGGCTGCTCCAGCCTTGGTGACGCCCCTGGCCTAGGGCCATCAGTCAGGTGAGGTGGCAGCAGCGCTGCCACCGAGGCCTGACATCCCGCCCTCCAGGCCCCTCTGCCCCTCACACTTGTCATTACCGAGCCAGAACCGTCTGGGCCGCGTGGGAACCGACGCCTGCACACCCTGCACGAACTGCTTGCCCCGTCCCCTCCCGCCAGCGACCTTCCCCTCACTTGCTGTGCCAGGTCCCCAGTGTGGCCAGCCCTCAGGGGACATGCTCAGGCCAGCACCACCCCCGTTCTCCCTGCCACGGTGACAACACATCTGGGGGGCCGGTCCCTGACCCACAGGACTGTGAATCTGGGGACTGTGCCTGCAGAGACAGCCATGAGTCTCTGTGGCCGTGGCGGCCAGTCCCCCACCCTGACAGCCAGGCCTGGGGCAGGACTGTGCGGCCCCCACCCAGCCGGGACCCACAGACGCCAGCCAGCCCTGCTGTGCATGAATCCACAACTTGTTTAATGACAGTGACACCCCATTACATGGAAAACAAGGCTCTGAATGTCTTGCAGGCCACCCGCCACCCGCCTCTGCAGCCACCCGCAGCCACTGTCGCCCGCCAAGATGACAAGCGTCTCGCCCTCTCCTGCGTCTGGACCTGCGGTGGTTCTGAGCCCCAGGGAGGGTCCCACGCTCAGAGCCACCAGGCCCCCTGCCCACGGCAGCTCCTGGGCTCCCAGCCATGCTCGCGGGCGGGTGAAGGGAAATGGTGGGGCCTGTTTTTTCAAAAAAAAAAAAAACACAACTCACACAGCAAGACCAGACCAATCAAACGCACACCTCTATGTACACCTGACCTGCTGTGGGGGAGGGGCGGGTGGGGCCACAGTCCTCTGGACGGCAGGTGGGTTTCTGTCGTCCCACAGGTACAGTGACCTGCCTCCTCCCCACGAGCAGGGTCTGGCCCAGTGGCCTGGCCCCCAGGAGCGGCGTGCGGGCGGGGGGCAGGGGGCGGCCTGGCAGGCCCTACCCCTCCCTGTCTAGACTCAACAAAAACAAACAAGTCCAAAGAAAAGTCACGAATACGTATGTACACATGCACACACCTGCCTGCTCCGCCCCGCAGCCGGCCTCAGCCCCGCCTGCTGTCTGGGGACAGGGAGCATGAGCCAGTATCTGAGTGTCAGGCGTCAGGGAAAGACCAGGAAGCTTCTGGAAGGACCAAGGCCCCCCCCCCCCTTCTCCCCTGGCCTCCCCACGGCGCTGGCGCAGACAGACACAACAGCACAAGTCAGGCGAGGACGGTGAGGCCCCCGCGGTCACCCACACCCAGCGACCTTCCACGGGGCCCGGCCGCCCACACGCACAGGGAACTCGAGTCTGGCTCGGGGAAGGAGGATGCCGGACCCCGCTGGGGACACGCCGAGGCCACTCTCCAGTCGGAATGGCGAGCAGGTCCCTTCCGCTCTCCTGGACAACGAGTCCGTCTGCAGAGCTTCTGCTCTGGCGTGAGGGCCGCGGCCCGGCAGGACGCTCAGACCCTAGCCGCGCTGCTGCTGGCGGGCGCTGCTCCATGTGGCACTTCCACCGCGCCCCTCCCGGGTGCTGACGGCAGAGACGGCAGCAAAGACGCCTCCAACCAGCGGGGCCCCTCGATGCGCTGGCAACAGCGGGCTCAGCGCCCCGCAGCCGCTGGCTCTGGGCTGGCGGAGGACCGCATCTGCGAAGAGGCAGCCGGGGTGCCAGGCCCCCACGTCCGGCTGTCTGTCCCAGGCGCGTGGGCAGAGATGGCTTCCAGGAAGGGCATGCAGCCCCAGGGTGACAGGTGTGGCGGGCGCAGGTGAGGGTCCGGGGCGTCTGTCCCGCTCCAGGTATAAATGGTCCAACCGGGGCCACGAGGTCCCCCAGGGTGGTTCTTGGCCTTCAGGAGGGAGACGGAGCCCCCAGCCGCGGGCCCACCCCAAACACCGGCGACGCGCTCACAATCAGGCGTTTAATGAGACTCCAGGGTTCTCCAGGCCCAGCTCCCGCCCCGCCGCCCCTCTGGGGTTGTGCGGGAGGCAGGGTCCATGCAAGCCGAGCACAGCTGGGGGTCTCCCGACCCCGGACGGCTGGCGCCGCGTGTCCCGCCCGGCGGGTTTACCGGATCCTGGTGAAGAGGTTGAGGACAGACACGGACTCCTGCGGACACACGGGAGGGACGGGCTGAGCCACAGCCCCAGGGGGGAAAGGCTGCCTGGAGGGAAACTGGCCCCCAGGGTGGCTGGGAGGCGCCGTCCCACCCTGGCCTGCTGATCCCTGGGTGCCCCTGCCAGTGACCTGGGTGTGAGGTCAGGGGCGGAGGTAGGGGCCCCCGGGGACAGGTGTGCCCAAGAGGACGGGGCGGCGGTGGGCGTGTGGCACTGTGATACCGACCCACTTTACCTTTGTCGAACGGGTTTTGCTGAAGACGTTCCAGAACCTCAGGGTCTCGTCCCCAGCACCGGTGACTATGGCCTCCCCGTCTGGGGACATCGCCTGTGGACGGGAAAGGGCTGAGCTGCAGGCAGGGCCCCAAGGCCCCACGGGCAGAGTCCAAGATAACAGCATTTTCCCAAGGCACAAAGGACGCCCTGCAGGGCGGGACAGCCAACTCCGTGAAAACGCAAAGGGCCCGCACGCAGACACCCAGGCACGCCGCCTCTGCTCATGGCGTTTCCTCCGGGAAGAACAAACCTCAGACAGTGAGTGGCATCGGGGCGAAGGCCACCCCTTTGCCCTGTCCCAGCCACGTGTAGATGGTTACTTTGTGGGACGGCCACGCAGGTTAACCAAGTGACCAAATGTGGGTTATTTTTGGCTTTCTTCACATCTCTTTTGTTGGAAAAAAAAAGGTAAATGCAGGTTCTCAAGGGGCAGGGCTGGGGACGCTGGTAAAGCACGTTCACAATGACGACAGAACCATGCCGGGCAAGGTGGCTCACACCTGTAATCCCAGCACTCCGGGAGGCTGAGGCAGGAGGATCGCTCAAAGTCAGGAATTCGAGACCAGCCTGAGCAAGAGCGAGACCTCGTCTCTACTGAAAGTAGAAAAATTAGCCAGGCATGGTGGTGCCTGTAGTCCCAGCTACTCGGGAGGCCGAGGCAGGAGGATCACTTGAGCCCAGGAGCTGGAGGCTGCAGTGAGCTGTGATGATGCCACTGCGACAGAGCCAGGCGACAGAGCGAGACTCTCTCTCCAAAAAGAAACAATAAAGAATCAAACTAATGACAAAACCAACATTTGAGACACAACCTGCCAAGCCTGCCGCCCGGCTCCATGCACCCACGCTGGACCCAGCACGGTTCCTCCTGCAGAAGAGCGTGGGCCACGATGGCATCTGCGCGCCGTCCACCCCACGCGGACTCACCAGGTACAGGACGCGGTAGGAGTGCCCGGTCAGCTTGGCCACCTGGGTCAGGGACGGGTACTTCCAGACGAGGATCTGGTTCTGTGAGTAGCCGTGTGTGCTCACCTGGGCGGGCAGAGGGGCCCGTGAGAGCTCAGAGACCCTAGCCAGGGCCGGGGTTGAGCAGGACACTGCGAGGCCACGATGTGCCCAGGGTCTGGGTCCCTGACAACTTCCTGACTTCCCAGCCTGCCTCCTCCGCCCTGCCCCGCGCTGAGCCAAGCTGCCGCTTTCCCCGTGAGCGGGCGAACACATGTCCAGGGGCGGCTGGCACCCTCGCGGCACCCCGCTCACCAGCTCGTTGGCGTGCTTGGACCAGGCGAGGTTGCACACTTGGGAGCCCGTGTCGATGCACTGCAGTGGCTGCCCCGTGAGCGTGTTCCAGAAGCGGATGCAGCGGTCGGCCGTGCCGCCGCCGGACGCCAGCAGGCCGTGCTGGTGTGGGGACCAGGCGATGGCCTTCACGGCCGCCAGGTGCTCTGTGTACTGCTGCACGGGGCTGAGGCTCGAGTGGTTCCAGACCAGCAGCTGGGGGACAGGGGCTGTGAGGCCTGGGGACGCCCCGGCCCCCGAGCACCTGTGGCCACACTGGCCGCCCCCGACAGGGAGGATGTACCGCCTTCAGCCCTGTGGCATAAGTCCCACCCTCGCCCCTCCTGGTCCTCCCTTGAGGACCCCACAGGGCACACCTATCACCCCGTGCGATCCTGCAGGATCTGCCCAGAGGGAGGGACAAACCCAAAGCCACACAGCCGGCAGGGGCAGAGCCAGGCTGGCCTGCTGCAGAGCAACCCGTCCCCTCCCACCTCCATCATCAGCAGTGCGAGGGACAGTCCCCGCACTGCTGGCTGCAATGTGGGGACTGGAGGCTGCAATCCGCTTTGAAGGTGTCAGGAAATAAGATGGACGGGCAGTGAGGAGGGGACAGAGCCAGCGTTAAGCGCCAAGGACAGCTCTGGGCAGGGTGCACACCTGCGCTGTAACAGTCTCTCTGCTGCTGTTTGGACGCTCTCATGGTATCAAACGACCAAACCCAAGCGTCCCTGATGGAAGGCAGAGTCCAGGGGAGCTGGAATGCAGCTGGACAAGGAACTCCGGAGGCATCGGGCTTTGCTTCCTGCTGGCCCTCACCCAGTGGTCACCATAACCCTTACTACCAGCAGCCAGCCCAGGCGGGGACAGCAGGGACAGACAGGCGGGCACATGTGCGTGTGCCTGCATGCTGGAGGGCTCAGGGTACACTCTGGCTCCTCTGGGTGTCCCAGCACTGCCCGGTGGGGGCCGGGCCCGCTGGACTCACCCGCTCAGACCAGCCCACGGAGGTCACCGAGTCCCCTTCCACAGAGAGGTCGCAGAGCCGGGTCACCTGAGGACAGAGGTCAGTGTAGGCTTACGTGCTGCCTGCTGGTCCTTCAAGGCCCTGGACTGTCCAACCACCTGTTGTCACGTGCCTGTTCAGTCACTCGCTGCCCCTGACGGAGGGGCGTGCAGGCCGGTCAGCACAGGCCTGGGCCGGGGGACTCCTGCCTCCCGAGGGGCAGGCAGACGGCGGCCCTCCCTCTCAAGGCCTCGGCGTGCCTTGTTGTGCGACCGTTTGTGTGGTCTGAGCCTGAGAACACCTACCTCGGGGACCAGCAGGTCCCCTGAGCCCAGGGACCACTCCAGGAGAGCAGCCACTCGGCCATCACGGGCTCGGCAGGCCAGGACGCCCCCCTCCCTGTCCGAACTGATCGGGGCAGAGGCCGCAGCTCCTTCCGGTGGGGACTCCCTGACGCCACCACAGACGCCAGCCCCGGCAGAGGAACATGGAGACACTCTGCTCCCACCTGCCACCCGCCCTGGAGCCCCGGGAGCAGAGTGGCAGGAAAGGCTAGGCGGGAGCTGCCCCGGCTCCCAGCCCCACAGCGACACCAGCGCCCGCCACGCCGGCCCCCGGAGCACAGGCACACGCACATCCCGCGCTCGAGGCACCCACCTGGCTGGTGCACGCGCTCCACAGGTACACGCAGGTCCCCAGCCCCACGCTGAGCACGTTGAGGGATGACCAGTCGACCAGGTTCAAGTAGAAGTCGTCCTGCAGCTCGGGCGCGTCCAGGACCTTGAAGGGGATCTTGGAGATCTTGCGGGTGGGTTTCCGTGGAGACCGGAGCAGCTTCTGACTGCAGAGACGGCGACACGGCACACGTCAGCCGATGCGTCAGTGTCGCTTTTTGGCAAATGCATGGAGAACATGTCCCCCCCCGCTGTCCCCACCCCCGTCTGAGGCCAATGCTGCCGGGCCACGGCGTGTCCTCAGTGACGGGGTCCTCTGGGCTGGGCACACCTGTACTGCCAACCATGGCTCCCCAGCCTGGGCCCCTCTGCTCCAAGGACCCATTTCTCCCGGGAGGCCCACCCTGCCCGTCCCCGGACTTGCAGGGACCCGCTGCCGAGGCGCCTGCACTCACCTCTTGTTGCTGACGGGGGACAGGGAGTACGGCGACACGTCATTGCCGTCGTCAGGGCTCGCGCGCTTGGTGCTGAGGGAGTACTGGGGCGGGACATGCTGGCTGAGCGTGAGCCGCAGCCCCTGAACCCCCGCGCCCGGGAACAGGCAAGTGGGGAGCGGCGCGCTCGCCAGCCGCCCTGTAGCCCATGCGCCTAGGCAGGGGCGCGGCGCTCCGAGCAGGAAGGCGCAGCCCCAGCCTCACTCTGAGGCGTCCCCCCTGCAGTGCCCACCAACGCCAGCGCCTTCTGCCCTGCGGGGCAGGCGGGAGGTGCTCTGTGGGGACCCACTGCTCCTGCAGAGGGGACCCGGCGCCCCCTGGGCTGCGTGTCCGGGCACCTGGCCTCTCCCAGGCAGGGGCCGTCCCTGGTACTCGGCCCACACAGCACTGCTGCGGGGGAAGAAACGTGAAAGGCTAACCCTAACCCTAATTCTTCCCTGGATTCTTCCCTCGCCCCTCCCGGCTCACTCGCTGGGTACCCGGGCTTGGCAATGGAAGGTGGGACCCCTGCCCTGGCCAGCTAGGGACGGGGCGGCTTGGGTGGGGCTGGGCTATGGCCGGGACAGCACTCCTGACGGGTCCCCGAGGCCTGGGCCCCAGGCTGGGGAAGCAGAGCTGCCACCCCGGGGACGCAGGGCTCACCGTGAAGAGGCCCTTCTTCTCGGGCGTGGACGGCTGTAGCCGGCGGTCCTCGGTCTGCGGGTCCTGCACCTTCTCGATGCCGGCTCCCAGCAGCTCGTTCTTGAGCAGGGCGGAGTAGGCCAGGCCGTCTGCGGGCACCGGGCACAGTGAGGTGGGGCGGGCTGCAGGGGCAGGGCGGGTGCAGGGGCAGGGCGGGCTCGGTCCTCACCTTTGCCATTGTCCGAGGTGGCATCCTTGGCCTTCCGGTTTTGACTGGGTGACTTCTCGTTCTCCTGTGGGAGGAAGGGAAAAGGCGGCAGGGAATGCTGTGCCCACTGTCCCCGGCCCTGGCGCGTCCCCGCTCCCTGCCCCCGGCGCCCTCACATTGATCCTGTGGAAGTTCACGCTCCAGTTGGCGCCGGCCCTCGAGGGGATGAAGCGGTCTCCGTGCTTGCTGGGCGAGGACACCGGGGAGTTGGCGGGCGTCAGGGTTCTCCGCATCTCTGTGACCTGAGATGACGGGGGAGGGGCTCGTTCTCGGCCCTCGGAGTCCCCCAGAGTGGACCCCAAGGCCAGCCTCTCTTGGCCTCTGGCCACCGAACAAAGTGAAAACCCCACGGGTGGTGGCAAAGCATTTCGGTCAGTGACATGGGTGCTGGAGGCGCCAGGCCTGCGGGCAGGGGCACCGTCCCACTCTGGGGCCTGGAGGGTGGACAGGGCAGGGGCGCAGGACAGTGGGAGGCAGGGATAGGAGGCTGTGAGGTGGGGACAGAGCCCAGGAGCAGGGCTGGTGAGGCCCCGGCTGCCCTGCCAGAGCCACGGGGCTCTGTGATTTCTAAAGCGTCGCGGACACAAGTGCTGACGGTGTGGGACACAGAGCGTTTCTTGCCGGAACCCCCGGCGTCTGCCACCCTCACCCCCGCTTCCGCCCCACGAGTGTGTTCTCGCCCACCACCCTCCCTCCCTGCCCTCCCGCCCCACTGTCCTCCGGGGTGCCCCCTCTCTCCGGGAGGGATGCCGTGCGCCGGCGTCCCCAGAGCACACACTGCAGGGCTGAGCCCCGCGCCCTGGGGATGGAACCTCGTCCCGACACCAGTTCCCTGTCGACACCAGTTCCCTGTCGACACCAGTTCCCTGTCATGTAATCACAACCAAGGTGCCGGTGTGAGAGGGAAATAGGGACAGAGATGGGGGAGAGGGTCAGGGGACAAGCAGAGACTGGGACGCCACGGCCACGGCCAAGGAATGCCTGGCACCCCCAGAAGCTGTGGAGTCAGCACATCTTTAGAAACAAATATTTTTTAAATCTTTTTTTAAAGCCAGTCAAATTTAGTATGGGGAGTTGTATACCAGCTTTAGTGACACTGACACTAATTAAAATCTGATAACCCGCTACCATCAGACCAGCCCTAATCTTTTCTTAATGAGACAGGTGTTGCTCTGTCCCCCAGGTCACAGCAGCCTCCCGCCTCGGCCCCCACACACCCTGACCCCAGACACCTGGCCGCAGGGACCGCAGCCGATGGATACATGGCTGCTATTCGAGCTGCCGTCCCGGGGCCTCTGTGGGGAGCTCCAGGAACGAACACAGGCTCCATGCTGGGCTCAGGTCACGTACGTGGTCACACCGCCCTGGCCCCGCAGTCTGGGAGGATCCTCAGCCTGTCCTGTCATGACCTGGCACGTGGGAGCTTTCGGCCCCAGCTCCGCTATGCCAAGCCATGTCCTACTGACCCTCAGCCCTGACCACCGCCCTGGGGACAGGTTGGCGCCCTGGGGACAGGTTGGCGCCCCTGACAGCGACGAAGGCAGGTGGGCACTGATGGGCTGTGGAGCTCGAGCAGCAGGGGGCCGGGGCAGGTACTCACACAGGGCATCGTGTTCTCGTTCTGAATGACGATCTGGCGGAGCAGGCGCCGCTCGTAGTCCTGGTCCATGGCGAGGCAGGGCGGCCGCGCTCAGCCTGCGGGACAGCGGGAGGGGTCAGTGGCCAGGGCCGGCTGCGGGACGGGCAGCGGCGCCCCCTAGAAGCCAGCGCAGCTCTCTCGGGAACCAACCGGGGCCTCCAGCCTCTGCTGGGGAGACTCCCGCGGCTCCTCGCCCGGCCTGGGCCAGGCTCCCACCCGCCCTGCCCCCGCCCTGCCTCGCCTCGCTGCCCGCAGAACCTTCCAGCCCATGGAGCCCCCGCCTCGTCCTCCTCCTGCAAAGGGGAAGGGGCTTTCCGCCCTGGGGTCCCGGGAGGGGAGCGGGGGCAGGGCTGGAAAGAGTCACGGTGGTCCCGGCCAGGACCCCTCCCTCTAGTTGACGGGCCACTCAGTCACAACCCACAAGGTGCACGCGAGTGCAGGAGTGGGGAGCGACTGCCCACGTGGGGCTGGGGCCAGGCTGGACCAGGTCACCGCCCAGACGCGTCAGCCTCCAGTGGACAACCCACACTCGCACCCGTGACAGTGGGGAAACATCCCGGGCCCTCGGGCTCAGCCCGAGCCAGGAAGGCCTGAGGCAGAATGTGTGTGTAGGCCTGGATAGTGGTGGAAAGGAGACCAACAAAGAATATTCTAGAGAGGGAAGAGCAGGTCCACACAGCCTGGGGTAGGAAGAGCTTGGCCTATTCCAGGACAGAGCCCCCAGATGCAGGTAGAGGTGGCCGAGATGCGGCGCTCTTGACGTCAGGGGTCTGCAAAGCCCAGACGACAGCCAATCGCACACCGCCTGCCTCCCCAGTAACACAGGGCTCGCCTGTCGCCTGGGCTGGAGTGCAGTGGCGTCATCACAGCTCACTGCAGCCTCCAACTCCTGGGTGACCCTCCCACCTCAGCCTCCCGAGGAGCTGGGACTACAGGTGCCACCACCACACCCGGCCTGAAAGTGAAGTCTGATCAGCACACGGTGGCGCCCCGAGGGCAGAGCTGCCACAGAGACTGCCTGGCCCTTCCAGAAAGGCCGGAGGCCTGTGCGACCCAGGGGGCCACCTCAGAGCTGGGGGAGCTCAGGCAAAGTGGGAGTTTTCAGCACAGCCTGGCACGGAGGGGCCCGGAGGACTCCAGCACCTTTGTCCTGCTGCCCTGGGTGGCTCCTATGGCCTGTCGCCTGCCACCAACACCTGGGTTCCTCTAGCGGGAGCCGATGGCATCCAAGGCCCTTGGTACTCAGTTCCAGGCCCCGAGCCTCCACGTGGGCACCCAGGTTGGCAACTGATCAAAAAAAAGTTTATAATTCCCCAGTGTACCACGCAGTAAAGTCAACACATGTCCTTTTTTAAAGAAAGTGGTAACATATGTATCACCAAGTTCACCATCCTCTACCTTTCCCTGTGCACAGCCCATTCACAGCGCTGTGCAACCATCAACACCCTCCATCTCCAGAACTTTCTCATCTTCCCAAACTCTGTCCCCATGAAACACTCACTCCCCACCCCCTCCCCAGCCCCCACCCCCCACCTCTCTGGCATTAGTTCCTCAACCGACCCAACAATTCCACCCGTTAACAGACGCATGCCCGGAGAAAGGAAGTACACGTCCGCACAGAAACCTGTCCGCGTGCGTCCACAGCAGCTTGAGTCACGACAGCCAAAGGAGGAAACAGCCCAGGTGTCCACTGACGGGTGAGCAGACACACACAGTGTGGTCCATCCACATGGTGAAATATCACTCAGCCATGGAAAGGGACGAGGCTCTGGCACAGGCCACAGCATGGAGGGACTTTGAAGACATCGTGCTCAGTGAGAGATGCCAGACAGAGGACACAGTGTGCAACTCTGTTTATATGAAATGTCTAGAACAGGCAGAGCCACAGAGACGGGGGGCAGACGCCACACTTGCCTTGTACAAACCAGACACTCAGGAAGGCACTGGCCTGGCACCACCAGGTAGAGAACAAACCAGGGTCCCTGCTGTCCGTGTCGTCTCGAGAACTACACCCTGATACCGAGGAGACTGGTCAATTCCTTTTTTCACATCCCGAAGTGGCCTCTCTGACGAGTTCCTGGTCCTACAGCGGGAGGTGCTGCCCTGGCCCACGGTCCCAGGACGCACACAGGGCTCCCGGCACACCCGCAGGCCCTGAAAGAAGATGCTCAGCCTCGGCCACAGCAGGGCCAGTCAGACTCCGAGGGACAGCAGTGTGCCGCCAGCAGTCCCGCGTCACTGGGTTTTTGTGTATCTCGTACCCCTAGGCGTGGCCTCATGACCTGACGCCGGCATGACACCCTAAGGCCGGGGGTGGGGCAGCGATGGCCCAGGATCACATGGACGGGGAAAGGGGCCCCTGCCCTATGGCTCATCCGCACGGGCCTCACAGACACCAGGCCACCTGCTCTGCTGGGAATCGGGCTGCAGATCCCCCCAACCCCCCACCCCCCTGCTGAAGTCCCCCAAGTCCTCCATGTGGCCCAATCCAAGGCCCAGGTCCTGGTCCAGGACATGGCTGGCAGCTGCCTCTCTCCTCCCGAGCCCTTGCTCACACACACTGCCCACGTCTCCTGCTGCCCAAAGACCCAGCCGCGCCCACAGGTCCGCCGTGGCCACCCCACCTGCCACCACTCCTGGGGCTGCACTGGCCATACTTGGGCTGAGAAGAGGCCTGTGGGTCTGTCCCCAGTGGAGATACCCATTTGGGGGATGGTTTCATGAGGCCAAAGCCACACGCCTCACGGCCACAGCGCCAGGCCAAATGTTAAATACTACCAAGCCCTAGAAGGGGGTCTGGACAGAGGAGCAGTCATCGCTATGCTCTAGAAAGTTCCACCTGCCAGTAGGGGATTTTCCCAGGGTCCTGCCAGTCAACTGTACCATGCCCCAAGAGGCTTGGGGTACCCCCTCACTGTGCCCCAAGGGCTGTGTGACCAATGTTCACAGGAGTTGGGGTCTGAGCACGTCCACACACACCCACAGAACAAAGACAAAACCACAGGGCAGATGCCACCTTATAAAGCAGAATCGTTCTATGGAAAACCCACCCTGGGGGGCTGCTGGGTGGTCTACACTGGACAGCACCCCTAGGTCCAAGCTGCACTCGAGTGGACATCCACCGTGGTCACAGGCTGGAAACAGCTGGAAAGTGTTTCACCAATGGCAGGGCCCAGAGTGCAGCCTGGCCACCTTGAGCACTAGAAACCAGGCAGAGCCCCAGTCAAGCAGAGCATCGCAGAGCTCTGCGGCGGCTCCGGAGCAGGGGGACAGGGGCCAGTGCACCCAGCAGGAGCTGCCGCCACGACATGGAGAGTCCCAGTGCTGAATTTGCTGAGCCCAGCAAACACGGGCATAGGGAGGCAGCCTTCCGCCCGCTGCCTGGCAGGTCCTTGCTGCTGTCACCCCACCCAGGCCGGCCCGCTACGGGCAGCTCATGAGCCCTGCACAGCCCGCCATTCACAGGCGTGGCTGCTGAGGGTCAGGGACGATCCGGATGTCCCAAGTGTGAGGGTCCTCACCACCAGACCCTGTGCACACATTGCCCCACGTGGACACAGAGACGCTGCACACTGGCTCTGGAGGGGGAGGAAGGGCCCCGAGCCGAGGGACGTGGGTGGCTTCTAGATGCCGGGAAAGGCGGGAGACGGGTTCTCCCTGGAGCCCCAGGAGGGAGCAGCCCTGCCACCCCTTGATGCCATCCTGTGAGGCCTGTGATGGCCTCTGGCCTGCAGGACTGGACAGGACACATCTCTGTTGACGTGTGAGCTCGCCACGGCCAGAGGCCTCTCCTGTGGGAGCCCAGGCAGCCCTGCCTCCCCCTTCTTGAGCCCCCGACCCCCTGACTCCTGATGGCCCCACCTGTGCTTTGGGGGGGCAGCAGGGAATCGCTCATCCACCACACCCGTTAGGGAGCGCCCCAGGCCTGGCACCAAGGCCACAGTCCCACCCACAGGGCAAAGGTCAAGCAAGCAGGTAAAGAGGACTCTGGGCAGCAGCACGCGCTACCAGGAAGAACATCTTCAAAAGTGGCCCCAACAAGCAGCTGCTGTAGTGAGGGTAAGAGGGACTCGGCTTTCAGATGGGGCTGAGGACCCCGCGCAGGGGAACCTCCCTGAGACCCGGCGCCCTGCAGAGGGACCCCTGGGACGCAAGCACAGGCTCTGACCTTCCACATCCTGATGCGACTTGGGGATGAGCCCAGGCCTTTCTGCTGGCCTGGCGGGGCCTCTCTTAGGCTCTTGCACCTTCAACCACCTCTGGCCTCGTGTTTGCTGGACTTGGAGGAACTCAGTGTCCACTGGGCTCCGGGACTCTTGGAGCCTTGGCAGCCGCAAGGAGAGTCCTGCATCCCGGGCCTGGGACCTCCCAGGGCACCACACCCCGGCGCCTGCAGGGGTCAGCTCAGGGCCTCCCCGGCCACCTCCTCTAAGCCCCGACCTGCCTGTGCTACAGGAAGAACAAAAGACTCAAAAGCCATGGGGTTTGAAATCGTGGCAAATTCAACAACGGGAAAACTAAGTGTCTGCAAGGCATGACACAGCAACGGAATTAAAAAAAAAAAAAAACAATGACAAAACAGGAAAATATTCACCACCCATAGGAGAGCCCACATGGGCGAGGACGCTCACGTCCCCTCGCAGCCGGCAGCTGCAAACCAAGCCGGGACACCACTCTCCCACCTGTCAGGCGCGGTCCGCGCACTGGGAAGGCGACGCGCGGGCCCTCGCTGGCCGAGGCGTGGGGAGAGGCAGCCGCACGCTCTGTTGGCAGGAGACGAAACCGCTACTGCTTTGGAGAGCAATTTGGCAACTGCTTCCAAAATTCAAAAAAATGCACATCCTCTTTGATGCGCTATTTCTACTTCTAAGAATTTATCCTTAGAAACTCCAGGCGTGTGTGCAAAGGGGCATTCGCCGTGCTGCCGGCAGGACACGGGGATGAGACGTCCCACAGAGGGGCGGGCAGCAGGGCTGTGGGCCCCCATTGCTGTGCAGAGCACGCTGCTTCTGCCACCATCGGGCAGAGGGGGACAGGGGCCTGGGAAGGGATAAGA